CTGTTGGCTCCTTGTGTGGAGTGACTTACACTGCCAGTGAGGCAGTTGACAGGGAGGAGGCTGGAATTCTGAAGGCCAAAGATGAGGCACGTTTTTCTCCTCTAGTAGGAGCACGGCTCTTTTTGAGTCAGTGAGGTTACATGAGATTTACAACAGCATGTTGTGACAGGACATGAGGGAAATGGCTTAAGCTGAAAAAAGCATAGATTTAGATTAGATACTAGGAATAAATTCTTCACTAAGGATGGTGAAGCATGCAGCCTGGTCCAGTGGAAGGTGTCACTGCCTGTGGCAGGGATTTGGAGCTGGATGAGCTTTAAGGTCCACTCCATGATTCTATGAATGTAGGTGAGTAGAAGGCGTATCAGGAGCCCTTAATTCCCAGGTACGAGCTTCCCTTTGCTGCGTAACTGCTACAACTGTGGAACGTTTGCTCTCTTTTAGTTTCCCCAGCCATTTCCGGTCCCCACACCAGTCTGACACTTCCATCCTTGCATCCCATTCTCTTTGTTTCAGCTTCGCTCGTGTTAGTACATTGGCTGCCTCATCTCTAATAGTCCTCAGGCTTCCCAGACCGTAACAAAATGTTTTCTATGGATGCCACGAACTGCATGACTGCTGCTCCTGCCTGTGCGGGGCTGGGGCCGCAGGAGGTTTCTGTACTATACTCTTGCACTCTCAAGTTTTATGACTTTTTAAGCAAGTGAGGGAAAAATAATAAAATAGAACTTTATTTTTAAATGCGGCACTTGTTCTGGGAATGCCGTCCCTTGCTCCCGGCGGGGGGTGACCCCCACGGGCTGCTGCTGCCCCTTGCTTTCCTTTGCAGGCACCGGAGAGGGCCAGGGGCAGAAAAACAACCCGGGAGACATTTTGCCAGCGGTGTGCCCATGGTTTATTTGAAATAAATCGTGATTTCTAACTCCGGAGGTGTCCTGGCTCTTGACGGGATGGGGTAGGATGGGGTAGGAGCGGATGGGGGCTTTTTGCCGCCATCGCCACGCCCCCGCGGCGCGGTGACGCAGCACGCCGGCCGGTTGCCGTGGTGACGCTGCGAGGCCTGGCGGGCCGGGGGGGACGCGATGGCGGCGGCGCCGGCGGCCTCGCGGTCAGAGGGTCCCCCGCTGCCCGGCCCGCCCGGCGGCCGCCCCAGGCCCGTGTGCTCGCGGCCGTACTTCCTCGTCCTCATGGTGTTCGCCCACCTCTACGTCCTCAACGTGCTGGGGCTGCTGCTCTTCGTGCACCTCAGCGCCGGAGAGCCCGGCGGGCCGCCAGCCGCTCCCCAGCCACCGCCGCCTCCGCCCGCCCGCGCTCTCCCTCGCCTCGAGGGCATCAAGGCAAGGCCGCGCCTGGGGGGTGATGGTGGGGCCGGGGCTGCGGCCGCCGCTCACCGCTGCTCTTCCCCCGCAGGTGGGCCACACGCAGCGGGTGGAGCTGGTGCCGGGCAGGGTCCACGCCGTGCGCACCCTCAGCCTCAAGCCGCTGCTCTTCGGTGAGTACCGGCCCCGCAGCGGCGGGCACCGGGCACGTTGGGAGCGGGCGGATCGGCTACTCTCCCCCTTCCCCTGCGGTGTCAGCGCGGCGGTCACCCGGTGTCGGGGCTGCGGGAGCGGTGCCCGCCGTTCCCGGCTGGCACCGGCTGGAAGGGATGGGGGTTCCGAGGATGGGGGGGGGGGGGGGGTTCCTGCCTCACCCCCTCCCGCTGCCTTACCTAGGGGAAACGACTTCTGCCGTATTCGCTTCTCCTCGGCGCTGCCTCATAACGACTGTGATTCTGTTCAAGGCATTTTGATACGGTATTGGCAGGGCTGACTTTTCTGGGTGGTCCACTTAGAAGGATTTGGAAGGTAAACCTTTCCAGGTTTTCCAGATTCCCTTTAAAATTCCATGAGCAGGCAGCAGATCGCTGAAGAGGACCTTGAAGAAGCTGCTCAGTATTAGGAAGGTGCAAGAGATCCCCAAAGTTTTGGTAATGAATGGTAATAAAGCAATTTAGTGTTGGTGAAAATGACTGACAGGGGAATTGACAGATTTAATGTCTGCCACCATTTTACATCGCGTTCCAGATTTACGTTTATTTCTGGCTGCTCTGATAAGCAGCCACACAACATCCTTCTTCCAGATGTTTTAAAACCTTGTTTACCTTTCTGTGATGACTGGTAAAGTCTCATTAGTTGAACTCTTGTGTTCTGGACATCCACTGAGAATATACAAATTGATTTTTTGGGGACAGATGATTACAAAATTCCTACTACTGCAATGTCAGAAAAAAACCTGTTGTCTGAAAACCAGCACTGAGAGTCTTTTAGATGTTTTCTCAATAATACATAAAGAGGTTTTTTTCCAATTGCAAATGGAATATAGACACCAAAAGCCTGGCCATAAATCAGGTAGAGTTCTTATTAAACTCGATCCAGTAAGTATCTGGAAGAAATACAGAGTTCTTTTGGCATCTCCACATATGTTGTACTTGTGGTTTGTAAATTTCAGAGTGGGTTTCTGTCTGACACCCCAGCCCGGAGCTGACACCCCACAGCGATCACAAACCCAGTGCCGTCACCAGAACCACAGTTTCTGGTTTTCACTTGGGAAAACTCCTGTTTCCACCTTCTCTGCCTACAGGTACCAGTTAAGTACAAGAGTTGATCCTGGCCTGTGAGGATGGTGCTGAAGCTTCTCAGAGGCAGGCTGGTCCTGGCAGCAGTAATCCCACAACTTTTAACTCGTCACTCAGGCACCACCATTGGTTACAGGGGAAGCTTCTCTCCCTGAGGATGGCGTCTGACAGACATTGACCCACAGAGTCTGTTCTCCTTCTTCTCTGATAAGAAGGCCCCTATTTAGAAACTTCAAGCAAGACAGCTCTTATTTCCCAGATAAACCTGCCAGGAGCCAGCTCTGACTTTAAAAGACTTCCAGAGGCTTCTCTGTCTATGCAAACAGAACCAATCTATATCATCTGGTTTAAGAGTACCCCTGATTTATTTTATCTCGGTTGTTTAGATTAGTGGAAGTGTGTATTTAACTCCATTGTATTAAACCCAGAAGTCACTAGCAAACAAGGTCTCTTAAATTTCCTGTGATTTTACTTAACTCAAAGTGTTGTGGTATGTGAGACCCTATTTAAAGAAATAAGTGGCTGGTCTGTGATCTTTGCTTCGGGCTGTAAGTGGGACTAAAGCAATGGACAGCTCATTAATGAATTAATGTGAGCTCTGTGCTTTGGAGTATGGCACTGGTACCACAGGGGAACTTGTGGTTTATCTTTTAAATGTAAGTCATCTGCATTGAACCCAGATGTATTTCATGGAGCTATGAAAAAGTCCCTGCCCTATTTTTTCCCCCACCTCTGGCTCCGAGACATCATTTCTAAAGCTCGTAAGTCAGACCATCTGTGCACTTTTTAGTTAGGCAACATTAGTGATCAAATAATCCTACTAAGAGAAAACAAATATCAGACAAAGCATTTTCAACCTTCAGAGCTTTTATATGTTCTGGTGTGTTTTCCAAACATAGTTCAGAAGATGCTGCCATTGCCAGGATCACTTGACAGTGGATTCTGTGGATTGGATGGCAGTTTGCAAGACAAGGTAGCAGGGAGGAATAAAACCTAGGAAATCTGGCTGTGTTTTTCTTCAGCTCCTCAGGGAATAGAAGTAAATGCTGCACAAATGTCAAGCGCAGCTGAATTTCAGTGTGAGCATCTGAGGGCTCGTCTCAGCCCATGTTGAAGCTGAAGAAATCACATCACGGGTTGTTGGTGTGCTTTACGAGCACAGGGAGGCAATGTGTCTCCATCAAACCGGGTGGCTGCCCACAACCAAGACCGCAGGCAGCGTGAACCACACAGAAAAGCTGTGTGTTTTTTTTCTTTATTTCAGTCCCAAGTTTAATCCAGCGTGGAAAACTTTCCACTTAATTTTTGTTAGGCAGTAGAAATCCAACTTGTTTCTTCATTTGGGGGTTTGCTGTTTTCTGCTCTCTGATCTGGATTGTAGAGCTACAGCAGAGAATTACTCCCTGCTTACTTGATGAGAGTGAGCTGCAGAGAACTTGGTGAGATTGACTTTTTCAACCTTTTCTGTCTTTGCATGCAGAAGGAAGGCCAGCCAGCTGTGTAATGTTTCTCTCCCCTTCCCTTATCACAACTGCAAGTAGCTGCTGTTGTGCCGGGATTAGGGCTCACTCCAAGTCCCAGGCAAAGCTGCTGTTGCCCACAAAAGCAGAGGTTTCAGTGGCTGATGTCTCATTCCTGCTCTGCTTTTTCTCAAGGCTCTTGTGAGATCTCGATAACCCAATTACTGGGGATCCAAACTGAATTTCTGGTATTAAAAAGTGGTTTTCCCTGTTATGCAGAAGCCCTCAGCTATCTTTGTTGTCTGCCTTTCCTGCCTGAGAATAGCTGTTTTTTTTACCTCTGAAGATGCTTATCAATTCTCATGCAGGAAGCTGAAGAGACAGCCTGAGTTTAATACTAATTCTTTGAGGGGCCAGATGTTGCAGGGGTGGGTTGTCTCCCCCTTAATTTATCTCAGACTGTTCAAGAGTAAAGCATTTTTTCCATTACACAAACAGCATCACTTAGCAGTCAGGGGGACTTTTGTCTAATCTCTCTGAACAGAAAGCAAGGAGGCACTTGGACAGCATCAGTGGCTCAGGTTCAAATAATGCAGTTGAAATGGCTATCGACTTTGATGACGAGAACTAGGAGGAACTGGCACGAGAGGTCTCTTGCCTGCAGAGTTCAGTTTGGTTTTGTTGTGACCTTGGATCCTATACAAAGCCATCCACTGCAAGTCCTGGATCTGCAGAGCCTTGTGTGAGGAGTATGTTACACCTGCACCCTCAAGCTCTGTCTCAGTAAACCAGGGATCTGTAGATGTGTAGTGAGGCCCTATCTATGGACTATGACTGCTTTGAATCACCTAAAAATATTGACTGTACATCTCCAAAACACCAACTTCCAGGGAAAGGAGTTTTCTAGCCATAGGGAAGGGAGCAGTTTCTTATTGCTGGAATTCAGACCTTTCTGCCAGCCTGTTCAGGGCAGCGGTGGTGTTTCCACCTCCGCACTGCCTGGTGCAGGTTCCTGTTCTTCTTCTGCCAGGCATAGGCCTTGTTCACCACCACTTTGTCACTCTGCACTTCACCGCTTACAACGAAGACCCCTGTGTGTGTGCCCCTCATGATGTTGTGGACGCAGGTTGCATCTATGTCCAGCCACTGCTGGAGCCTGCTGGGGACTTCAGTTCTGAGGAGGGGACCATGTTTCAGGACCTCCACCCTGGAGGTGTCCAGGTCGAAGTCTGAGATGGTAGTGGTGGCGTTCTTCCTCAGGATTCGTATTTTCACTGCTATAGGGGTTGGAAAAAGAGCTGTTAGTTCTATTTACTTTCCATGTAGCTCTTCACTACTTAATCACACAGCAGCGCAAGGCTTTCGTGCTGTTCCTGTAATGTGGTGACACATCCATCCACTGTAATTGCAGTGAGCTTACAGAAGTTCTCATTTGAAGTTAGTTTTCAGTACTGAACACCATTTTTAGAATCACAGAATCATTTAGGTGGGAAAAGACCTTTAAGATCATTGAGTCAAACTGTTAACTCAGCACTGCCAAGTCCACCATTAAACCATATCCTTCAGAGCCAAATCTACACATCTTTTAAATACTTCCAGAGTTGGTGACTTCACCGCTCCCCTGGGGAATGCTTAATACCTAAAATCCTGGCATCTGCTGTAAAAGCTGCAGCCATTTTCTGCCCATGACAGTACGTGGCTGCTAGAGGGAACAACAGCAACTGAGAGGATGGGGGGGTTGTACTCACCAAAATCATTGACACAGAGGTTTTCCAGGATCTCCCTGGCACTGCTGGCTTCCTCAAGCTCACAGTCCTTGCAGCTGGCTCGGGGTACTGCTGCAACAGAAATCTCGTTAGAACAGCCTTGTCAAGCATCAGTGGAAAAGGCATAATGATACTTTTGATATCTGCAAGTGGTGGCTTGCTGTTCCTGAGTGGTGCTTCCTCCTGAGCTACCCAGTCCATGCAGGGACATCCCAGATTGCCAGGGTGGGAAATGTCAAGTTCTCCTTTCTGTGGCTGGGGCAGATGCTGCTTGTTGTGCTTTGTTTAGGCTTGTGTGTGTTGCTGCATGTTAAAGCAGCAGTGAAAATGCTTGGTGAAGATCTAGTGTGGGCGAAACAGTAAAACCACTGGTATGGCCAGACTACATCCAGTGATGCTGAAATGAGGCATCTGCCCTCCCCTTAGCTGCTCTTGGATCTACCCCAGTATTCACCAGTATGTGGGTGTTTAATTCAGTCTTTCAGTCTTAGAGATTCTTTTTTTCTGATGTGACATGTCTGCAGAGGCTCATGCCCCTTAGTGGTGTTTCCTAATGTTTAAAAGCAAGGCTTACAAAACAGTTTTTTGCATGTTTTTAAACCCTGGACGCAGCTGAAAGATGAGGGCTGAAGCTCCAGAGCCCTGCTGGAAACACATCTCACTGCCTGGAGCCTGCATGCCATGAGCTCTCACGCTGTTCCTGGGCATTAGGCTTTTGACAGCAATTCTTTCCCCTTGCCCCAAACCCTGTGTGGTGTGATGGCACCCAGGGAGCTAATGAATACAGCAGAGAGGGGAACAAGCTGCAGTCAGTGTTACACTAATTTTCCAGACACAGTGGCGCTCCCACAGAGAACAAAACTGGAATTTATAACTTCTTTAAACACAGCTTAAACCCAGAAATTCTGGGAATATAAACAAGGCAGAGGCTGATCCGCTGAGCTTTCAGTGTTGCCTGGGGGAAAACATAGGAGAAAAGAGCCAAACTTACTTCTCCTACTGGTAGAGTTTTCATTCGTGGACACTGCTGCGATGCACAGCTCGTGATCAGCAGGGAACTTGTTGCAGTTGAGGATTTCGGGCCATGGGTACCCATAACAAGCCATGACGGGAGCGCAGCTTGTCTTGACAGCTTCACACAGGCTGCGGCAGGGGTAGATGAGCCTGGGGAGGGGATGGGGATTGCAGCACCTCTGGGCTCCTCCTGGCAGCAGGCTGAGGGGTTTGCTGCTGCCCAGGGCTGTGCTGGTGGGTACCAGCAGCTACTGTGGTGTGTGAGAGGGGTGGCTGGGGGAGACGGCAACAGTGCCTGGGGTGAGAGAGCAGGAAAGCCCACAGCAGGGAACGTAATATTCCTGTTCCTGAGAGATGGAATGCTCATGTTTCACTTTCAGAGGGATGGTCCCTCCTGGGAAGTACAATTGCCCCTTGCCAAGAGGGACACACAGCTTCTTGGGGACAGCACTGGTCACACTGGATGTGGGTTCTCTCGGAAGGCAAATGGAGTTGTGCTCTTCAGGGACTGTTACTTATGACAGCAGGAATAACTTGTAAAAACATCTTACCTGTCCAAACAGATTGGTGCAAAGAGGGAGCAGAGGAAGATCCTAGCGTCTGGGTGGCACTCCCGGGCCAGCAAGGGCAGCCAGCTGGAGGACTGCTGGATCACTTCTGGCATGGTCTCGTGCTCCAGCAGGTTGGGAATCCTCATCTCGGAGTAGCCGATGTTGTAGCACAAGGCCATGCGGGGTGGGATGGGTGTGCAGCTGGAGGATCTCCTCAGGTAGCTCGCCCAGGCCCCTGGAGACCCCCAGAGCAGCAGGTACACCAGGACATCCAGCAGCCATGGGCCACGCAGCCTCAAGGGGTGCCTGTGGTGGGCTGTGGCCATGCTTGGAGTAGGAAGACAGGCAGCACACCCCAGAGTGAGCTGCCTCCGACAGTGGGATGCCTTTTATAGCCTAGGAGCCACCTCTCTGTCAATCTATCCTCATTAAGTGCAACCCTGTCAGAGCCCTCATGGGGAAGACAATGCTCCAGTTTTCATTTGCCAGCGGCCCTGATTGTTTGGATTTTAGCAGGGGTTTGGCTTAGATCAGCAGGTGTGGAAATGAGGGCACTTGGGGAGGGATGAATGATTTGGCCCATGTGTCTTGAGGCTCTTTCAGCCAAGATTGAATCTCTGTTTGACACCAGTGCTCCAACCCTTCCCCTTTCTCTAGCTCCAGGATTAGTCATTATTTCATAAGGCCCAATGTTTTCCTCTCTTTTGTTTTTTGTAAAAGCTCAAAGTCAAAGTCAATTAAGAGGCATTTGTTTAGCAAGATGTATTGTTGAGCAGGCAGGGAGATAGGATGGTCTCACAGCCAGAAGTTAACTGTTTGGGAGAGCTGAGGGTAGAGAGGAACTAATTTGCAGCTCTGGAGCCAGGTTGTTTGCAGATGGGATTGGCAACACCTTCCTGGACCCCCTCACCCCGCAGCCTGTGTGACAGAGCACGGTTTCCGATTAAGAGAGTTGTTCCTTCATTCAGAAATCCTTCCGGAGAGAGGGACTGTCCTTCTTCCAGCACATAATTAAGATTCCAGAAGCTATCATTATTATAGCCCAGTTTGCGGAGCTGGAAATACTGGGAGCATTGCTTGCCAGCACAGTTCATTCTGGTGGTGTGCTACGGCGTTCAAAGCGGTCAGTGGAAGCTCTGGCTCTGAAGCATCCTTTGGGATGCACTGCCAGTAGTGGAAATTGTTTCCTCAGAGGGTGTCACGGATACAGGCAGCTGCATTGTGTTGCTGGGGCTTCCTAGGAACAGCTCGTTTTCCACAGGGCTAGTTCTGGTCTGTACTTAGGAAGAAGCCAACTGCTCATTGACAGTTTGAGCTGATAGGGTTGATTTCAGGTCATGGAAATAACTAATTGTTTTCCACGCTTTGAAGGTTGCTGTAGTTGAGATATAATGTGTCCATGGCACATACCTGCAGGAGCTCTAGGGCGCTGCAGTTTGGAGAGCAAGACCTTTGGCTTAGGAGCACTTAAACCTGTCCTGCTTTGATGTTTTTGATTTCCCCCTTCAAAAGCCTCAGTATCTGGTAACAAGATTGACCTGAGAGTGGCAGACACCAGCCAGAAGGATCTTCTCAACTTCACAGCATAACTGCTGTGGAACAGGACCTTGCCAGCACTTTGCAAGTGCCCCGTGCTCTATGCAGTGAGAAATTTCATAGTCATTTGGTTATCTGCATTTAAATCTGCTTGGGCTCCTACTATTGCCTGATTGATGCTGGTTTTGTGCTGGAAAGAAAAGCTAATGACACCCAGGTAGTACCTCAGTATGGAATGTGGCATTCACCATGTGCAGTGCCCTCCCCTTTAATAGTGCACTTAAAGACCCTTTTTAGTGGGGAAGCAAGTGAACGAGCGGGAGTAAGCTTGAAAGTCTTCTCCTTGCTCTTTGGGTTTCACTGTGCCAGGGTCGCAGCGCTGTCCTCTCCACATGAGACCAGGGAAGCCTGAAACCCTGCAGTCACCGCTGCCCACCACAAAGCTTTTCTCACCTCTCTTCCTGTAGAGCAGCAGTTCCCAGACTGTGATCCACACGTCACCTTTGAAGTGATAATATGTGGTGATACGCAGGTGTTTGTTCGTTCCTTTGTCCATTGTGGTATCTGTGAGAGAGTTTAAGGGCTTGACCTCTGCATCCAAACATTTATGAACTGCTGCTGTAAAAATACCCACCCCCAGCAGCGCAGGTGTATGGTGTGTGCTCAGATGTGTTTGAATGTTCCAAACTTAGTTCCTAAATTCCTCACCCCCTTTTTTTTCTCCTTTTTCTGAGTGCCCTGCCATTGGTTTGGGGTCTCACTATAACAGTTCTTCAGTGTCTGTTGCTGCTCACGCTTCTGCTGCAGAAATTCCTGACTTCCTGACAGAGGAGGAGTGCAAGCTCATCATCCATCTGGCCCAGCTGAAGGGGCTGCAGAAGAGCCAGATCCTACCAACGAATGACTATGAGGAAGCCATGGAAATGATAGAAATCAGCCAGATGGACATTTTCAATCTGCTGGACCACAACCAGGATGGGCAGCTGCAGCTCAAAGAGGTAGAGTGTGGGACAGACCTGGGGATGTTTGTTGGGCACCTTCTCAGAGGTCTCCTACTCAGATGGTCTCTTCATTACCCATGTGCTTAGATAGGGCCAGACCCCAGTATATTCCAGTCAGTACTTGCTTAATTCTGTGTCTCAAGACTTGTGCTGGCCTTCAGCATGGAAGTTTCTAGGGAGGTATACAGCAGTTGTGCTGCTACTGGGAGGCAGTGGTGGTTCTTGGCAGATGAGTTTTGAATATGCTGGGTAAAACGTTCCTGGTGCTGTGGGTTTTACTTTCCCTTCAAGAGAAGGAACTTCAGGACTGGTTAACAATGTCCCAGCAGTCATTTGCCATGACCTAAACTGGAAATAACAGCACTCATCAGCCACATGCTGTGTGTGGCTGCCAGATGGTTCTCGCTGCAGTCATCTTTCTGCAGAGACGTGCTGACACCGGCTGCAGAGCAGAGCCCACCAGGCCTCAAGCAGGGCAATCTGTAGGGCTTGGTAGTACAAGGAACTAGTGCCTGGTGTTGATCCATCTATGAATTTCAGGTGTTGACCCACACCAGGCTTGGGAACGGCAGGTGGATGACCCCCGAAAACATCCGCGAGATGTACACTGCTGTCAAGGCTGATCCTGATGGGAATGGTAAGAGCAGCTCCATGGGAATGCCTTCACCCTCAGCATGGTTGACACCTGGCACAGCCATGTGGGGCAAAGCAGGAGCAATGTTCCTGCCCAGGCCCATTTCTCTACCTGTGCTCTTCAAAGGAAAATTAACACTGCTTTAGAGACTTGGCAAAAAAGTAAAATCAGTGTAAACCTCTTCATCACCAGTCTAGCTGCAGACTAGTTCTACTTTCTGGGCTTGGATCTTGCAGAAGTAGGACCAGAACACAGCTCTGTGCTCCCTCTCACCTTCATGCCCTGCTATAATAAGACCTTCAGGGTGTGTTCCTGTGGTCTGATAGACTGCTCTTTTTCTGACTATGTAGCTCTTGTTATGTGGGCTGCAGGTGTTAAGGTGCCTTCCACTTCCACCCTGTTTTCATGGAGACTTCTGCAGCAAGCTGGGAGCCCCACATCCCTGGCAGGCCACAATAAGTGGAGATGGTCTTGTTGGTCAGCCTTTGCTGCTGACCCCCATCTCTGCCACTGCAAACTCTTGTATTCTGTGAGGACACTTCTGCTCTTCCTGCCCTTGGTCTCTCAAGGGCTCTCGCTGGTCCGGATGTGTATTCTAACTTCTGCTGCTCTAATTAGTGTGGCCTCAATTAAGCAACTCTCCATTTCCTAATCAAATTAAGTGAACACACAGGCTCTGCACGCTGTCTTCCAGTGACCTGGCACTGAGAGCTGCTCAGGAGGAGCTGCTTTGGAGTTGAAGCAGTACCCGTGTGAATGCCTAAATATCCGGAGGGTACCGGTGGCATTCTTGGCAGGGGTAGGAGCGTATGTCTGAGTCCTCTGTGGCTTTTCCACCATTCCAGACATTAACAAATGAAAGGTCCTGTTAGCATGCTCTTGGCAGGACCTTACTTCCAGAGTGCTGCTTCCTTCTGTTGTTAGATTGGTATGTGACACCAAGAGACCAGGTCACAACCTGGATGTGGCACTGCATCATGAAAGATCGTGTGGAGCAGGGGGAATGTGGGGACAGGGAGACACTAGAAATAATAATGATGGATAATTTGGTTATGACCGCTGGCATCCAAGGACCTGTCCCAGGCTGACCCTGATGACTGAGTGCTGTTGTCCAAGGGAGATGAGCTGGCACCACAGCAGCACTGGGTTCGCTGTCTGGGTGAGCTCTGCTTGCAGTCCATGATGTGTGCTGGCTGCTGGGCAGCCCAGTGCGGTGTCCTGCATCCTCTGGTCTGTGCGGCCTGATCCCCAGTATGGATGGGGTTGGTTTGCAGAAGGCAGTTTCTGCAGTGCCCTCAGCTGGTGGCTTCTCTGAATACAGAACACCAGGAACTATTTATTACCTGCGGGACTGTTACCAGCTTTTCCTCTCTTCCCATAGGTGTGCTGAGTTTGGAGGAGTTCAAACAATTGAATATCCATGATTTCCACAAGTACATGGGAAGTCAGAAAGTGAAAATGAGTGACTTGGTGCGCAACAGCCAGCACACATGGCTGTACCAGGGCGAGGGGGCTCACCAGGTGATGAGATCCATACGGCAAAGGTAAGGACCAGGCAGCCAAGGTGTGGTTGGGTTTGTGTAGGCACAAGGAGCACATGTGCTGGGAAAAGCAGCAGCAGGCTTGATAATATTCACACTTCCTAATTGTGTGAAAAGTCTTTGGAGTGTAAAGAGCAATGAACACAGCTCCAAAATGTGGAGAGGAGGTTTTCATTAGAACAAAGTTTTTTGCTGTCCCATGGAGAAGGAAAAAGAAAAATCAACCCTTGCAGCATCTCCATTCACTTTTGGGAACAGCCCTATAAAACCAGGAAGACTTGGCATTATACGAAGTAATTCATTCTAATTAGTAAATGAGCTTACTGGGAGAAACTGCCCATTTCCAATGCTGTCTGGGTGCCAGTAGCTGCTGTCATCTGCTTTAGTTACTCACACATTTCACTGAAATCTGGCTTAGCTGTTTAGAGCTGATTTTTTAACAAGTACAACTTCACCTCAAGGAAGCCAAGTTAGTTTAATCCTCTGAGCACACGTATCACAGGGCAGCTCATAGCAGAGGGGAGAACCTCTTACCCTTCCCTTCGTCTCAGATTTGGTACTGGGAAGCATTGAAACCCAGCACACAGGCCAAGTCATTTAGCTGTGGCAAGTTTCAGATAATTGGCTGGAGACTCTCTTGTTCTTGTGGTGCTGGTCCTTGCCCAGAACATGGGTGGGTAAAATCTGTCCCGAGGCTTGAAAACAGCTGTTGGCTACTCCTTTTCTTCAGGACATTCCAGCAGGGGAATGGGGTCACATATTGCCTTCTCCGTGCCAGCTAGCCAGCGCACACAGGCATCAGCACACTGCTTTTATGCTCTTCATTTGGCTGTTGTTACATGAGGATGTGAAGACACAGCACTGAAGGAGGCTCCCTCGGGACTGTGCGGTGCTCAGAGGGGCTTTGCCATCCTGCCTGGGTGCCACATTCCCCTTGCACCTGCCCTGAGGGCTTCACCGGTCCAGATTCTCAGAGCTCTGAGTGTTCTTTGGCAGGTCTCGAGACGTACCTGCTTGCCTTGGGGATGATCTCAGATGTAGCAGCGGAAAAAATCCCAGAGCAGCAGGGCTCCGGTCTCCTTGGTCACTTCCAGTGCCCCTCTGCCCTGGGAGGGAGGCTGCTGAAAAGGCAACAGGGAAAGGTGAGTTAGGTGACAAGAATATTCCTAGAGCTAGTCTCTCTTTCACTCTCAGCAGGAGCCCTGTGCTTTGCTATCTGTCCCAAGGTCTGTAGGTGGTGAGCAGGAGTCCAGATAAGTGATGAGATAGCACGTGAAGGCTCCAGGGACACACACACAAGGGATCTTGCTGAGCAAGCAAAATCTTCCTCAGAGCAGTCCTGCTGGTGATGCACCCTTCAGTTTTGTTTGGTTTTGAAGTAACCTTAATAATGACTTGCTGAGCCTATGCTAATAGTCCAACAGATCTCTAAGGACCTAGTCTGCCTCTTGTCATGCTTGGTGTGGCCCATTCATCTCTCCAGTCTGTTGGGAAGGGGGTTCTCTTTCCCTAGATTCATTTGCTGCTTGGTAGTAGTGGCTGACCGGTTGTTAGTGCTTCCCCCTCACCTGCTCTGCTCTCCTCTTCCCCAGGGTAATGCGCCTGACTCGCTTGCCCCCCGAGATCGTGGAGCACAGTGAGCCCCTCCAGGTTGTGCGCTATGACCAAGGAGGGCACTACCATGCCCATATGGACAGTGGCCCCGTCTTCCCTGAGACTGCCTGCAGTCACACAAAGCTGGTCGCCAATGACAGTGCTCCCTTTGAGACCTCCTGCCGGTACGGTCTGCCTTGGAACAATCTGAAGCATGTTAGAGGAAAGGTGGAGAGAGATGTTTGGCCTCACCTCATGTAGCAGTCAGTGCTTGGCTGATGGGCTCGTAAACCGCTCTGGAGATCACTGTCATGAAGGGGTTTAAAGGGGCTGGTGGGCAAATCCTGTGAGTCCACGCAAGGAGGGCAGAGCGGTTCTGCAGAGCTGTTGGGCCATCCCCATCGGAGACTAGAAACACACCGTCACTGCTGTGAGTGAGTGGGGATCTTCTTTGTTGTCCTTGTCTTGTTCTTGGAGAAAAGCTGATGATGCAAATCATCAAAGCTGAGAGCTTGACAGTCTGAGAGTTGGGCTTGTTCAGCCTGGAGAAGAGAAGGCTCTGGGGACACCTTAGAGCACCTCTCAGTGCCTAAAGGGGCCGACAAGAAACCTGGAGAGGGGCTTTGGACAAGGGCCTGTAGGGACAGGACAAGGGGGAATGGCTTTAACCTGACAGAGGGGAGATTGAGGTAAGCTCTTAGGCAGAAGTTCTGCCCTGTGAGGGTGCTGAGGCGTTGGCACAGGGTGCCCAGAGAAGCTGTGGCTTCCCCATCCCTGGCAGTGTTCAAGGCCAGGTTGGACGGGGCTTTAGGCAACCTGCTCTAGTGGAAGGTGTCCATGTGCGTGGCAGGGAGTTGGAACTGGATGAGCTTTAAGGTCCCTTCCAACACAAACCAGTCTGGGATTCTAAGAAATCCC